TTTGGTGGATTTTCTTGGTTATACTCCCGGGGCATACGACGCATGGGAGGCTGGACACACTGTTTTCTTTTCTGGGCTGGTTTGGTTGTGGAAAGATACCCCCCTCTTCCCTTGGCTGGAATGGTTGGCATACATGGCCGCGACGGACCGCGCGCCCGGGTCTTGGGTCATTTTGGGTTTCCTTTTCTTGTCTCATGGATGCATGGTTACGGCTCTAATGACGGATACCTCCCCGCCCTCTCACCCCTCACCACTAACCTCGACTACCACACCTCCTCAACACTCTTCTTTTCATCTCCCTAATGCCGAAAATCACCGGTCTCGCCAACGCCACTCCGACTTGATGTCGGGCTCGCGCACACGAAACCACCTTTCTTCGACAGGAAACTAAAAGAGGACCGATGGGGATGGAGTCAGGAACGGAAAGGAGGAGCGAAGGAGGGGACATCCGCTTTGCCTGCCACAGACGGGGGGAACAACAAGGCACGTCGGGACTGTGTCCCACCAGACGGGCCTTCCTCCGTTCTTGGCGGCGATGGCCGGCAACCCATGACATCTAGTCCCGCGCGGCAGGCCTGGAGCCGGGGCAGACACTGGCTGTCGACAAGGAAGGGAGAGGGGCCCGGGCCCAAGGAGGGGGTGGTATGCAAACGATGGGATGGGACGAAGGGACGAAGGGATGATGGGCGCCGCTGCTGGGCAGGTGGCGCACACAAACACACAAGAAATATAACCGCGTCGAAACGCTGAACTCAAATCTTTGCCTTTCTCTCTCTCGGGCGATCGAAACCATGACGGGACGGCACCGCACCGGATGCACGAACCGACCGCCGCGGCGAAGGAGAGGGGGCATGGGTTGGGACCGAGGAAAGGAAGAAAGGGAGACACCAGGACGAGATTACCGTTGCGAACGCGAGCTTTCCCCGCCTGTCGGTACCCGCACACCCCGAGCATCGAGACCACCTGCGAGTCGGGCTCTCGCATTCTTATGGGGAAGTTGTTTGTACCGGCTGGGAAAAGATTTGGACCTTTGCAGTTCGGGTCAAGGTTTCCTGGTGTCAGCTTTTCTTTCTAGCCGCGGGACTGAGCCTGAGCCCTTTACTAGGAGCAGGCGAGGAGGGTGTTTAGTGTTGCGGTTGGGAGGGACCTGCTCTGTCCTGGTTGGCAGGGCTGGTCGGAGGTAAAGGGTGGAAGAGGGGTGTTTACTTTGTCACTACAACCAAAATCAAACTAAACCAAGCCTGTCTTTCTGTCTGTCTGTCTGTGTGTCTATCTATCTATCCGAGGTAATGGTAGCTATCTTAATTGGGCACGAAAAATGGAAACTGTTAGTATTGCATTACTTGTCTGCTTTGCGTGCTTTGGACGTTCAACTTTGGCGGCGACTGTAGTGAGCACACACATCCAAAATCACCACGATGTTGAAGTGTACAGCGGCTGGACGCGGTGTAAGTCGAACGCCGAGATGATTATGTGGATTTTAGTCTGTGAGACAATGTACGTAATTCCTGATATGGCACTACAGTGCCAATCTAAAGGGGGGAGGGAGGGTTACACGGCGCTTACGACAAGGTTGGCTCGCTCGGGATATTTCTCAAAGGCCTTTTTCTCTGCTTGGTGGTCACGGTGTTGAAATGCGAGGGCGAGGGTGTGGCTAGCACAAGAGGGTGTAGGTTGGTAGGGTCCGGGATTTACATGGCACGGCACGGCATATCCTGCCCGCCTTCAGCTGCGGCGGCGGCTTCAGCTGGGAGGAGGAAGTAAAGCGAAGGGCGAGGAATGACGAGTTTACCCGCTGCAGGGCAATTTATTTGGTTCCCTTGTCGGGTGCTAGCAGGGCGTGCTATACAGCTGTCGATCGTGGGAGTGTCTGAGGGTGTGAGCGGGTTTCTGGGGATGGTACTTTGGGTTCCAAGTTTCAACATGTGAAATAACTAGGACGAGTTGATGCGGTGTAGTGTCGGTGTAGTGGTTTCCATGGTGGTGCGATGTCGGGGCTGAGATCACGACAGTACGGCATCTTGTTTGATGTTGCGACGACGGGATGTTGAGATTCGCAACCTCGTGTCTATTTGCATCCCGGGGGATATCGGGCATGCAAGGCCCGACAGGTTCTGGGTTTTGTGCATGCGTTGAGTATGCGTGTTAGATTGCCCTGACAGACAATCTGGTTTGTTGTAGAGAGACGTCATTGTAGGCCATCTCAACTCCCATGTGTTTACCACATGCTGAAGATGTCATTTGAGAGGCCGCCCCCAAATCGCATAACACAGGGGCTTGATCGCTGACAAGGGCCCCTGTAAACGCCCTCGGAACCTGGCCAGTGGGATTTACGGGGGGCTGATCGCCTTCCAGGGGTGTTTTCGGGACGCACCGACGTTCGATCGGGGGAGGCAGGGCAGGGACAGTCAGTGCGCTCAACGGTGAGCCTGAACAGAAACCCCTCTTCCGCAGGCTTGTGATTGCGGAGATTGATCGAAGCAGAATTGATGCTGGATGGGTGGTGGACAGAGCCCAAGACGAAAGAATACGACACACCGGAATCGCAACACTGCATCCGGGCGCTTCCAGGTCGACCCGATGATAAGAGCACACGGGATGGTATCGGATCTCTCTCTCTGTTCCTTCCGTACACCGCAACCCACACACCAAACAAATGGGAAAAAGCCCTTGTGCCGTCAAAATCCGCCGCCACCACCCTCCACCAGCTGGCAAGGTGTGCGGTGTCGGCGGGGCGCGGGGCGCGGGGCGACGCACAGCAGCGGCTGAGCCAGGCGGGTAGCCCTTCTTCACCCCCCCTCCCACACCATTTCCAGAAATTCCAACTGTCAACGGCCGAGACATGGTCGTGGCGTGCATGTGCCGGCTGACGTCGGTATTGGTTCGAATACGGGCGTGAAACGAAACGCATGAGGGTAAATGGGGCTAGCTGGGTTGGGGGTTGTGCCTGGCCTAGGTACCTCCGACGACAACGACAGTCACGATGAGGATGAGGGTCCTCAGTAAGGATGCTGGTGTTGGTCAGCTCTACTATACCCCTACCTACTAACATGCTCCTACTTATGTATGCTTATTTATGCCTACAATGTGTATTCTCAAAACGGCAAAACTGGTGGCTGAGGTCAGCGAGTCCAACGAGACCGGGACGCATCTTTCCCTAGCCCCTTTCTCTCGACTCACCACCGACGGGAGCAATAAGAACTGTCGAGGCTAGGAACCAACACAATTCTTGACAATTCCTTTCTTCTCTCAATTGAGGACGAAGGGGAAGGCTCTAAGAATTCCACCCAGCCCGGCGGTATCTAGCCCGCTCCTCGGGAGTTGTCTGCCTTGCGCAATCTCTGCGCAGACCGTTGGCTGACCTGACGAACACTTTTCGAAGAATACGCTTGTTTCCGAGCTCGACGCGCGCAAGATGCATAAGAAGCTGATCGAATCAGACGTGCAGTTGTCCACCGTCCCAACGCCGGGCTGTGTCATGAGGTTGTCTGCGGGCTTCAGGAGTCGGGCATTGTCCTCACCCATCCATCTTCTTGACAGGTCGGTCGGAATATGTACCTTTACAACTCCTCCCCCACAGGTTTCTAGTGAATGTAAGCATGGGCATCACAGGAAAGGATTGGTTTCCAGCCTGCTGGGTGGGAAGTCTGCCAATGTTTCATCTCCTTCCTCAAGGCAGACCTACGGGTCGAGGGGAACAAGCCCGTTCAGCTCTCTGATTCCTCGACTGCCACGCGAAGCTGTCAGATTCCGGCCTCGTGGCAGGCAGGGTCGGCCGTCTCGCTCTCTTCTCAGCAAAAGCCTGCTTACCTTTGCGGTACAGCCATGGCCGACTCCCCTAAACCAGTGAGCACTCGGATATCGAACTTCGTTTGCATGGCCCACCAGCCTTTCTGCCGACAACACCCGAGTAGGATTCCTACAACGACGACAACAACGACCATCATCATCAGCCAAGACCAAGTAAACCACACCGACCCACCGACCGGTGAGAGTCCCCCACGCCGTCTGTACCACGACAACACTCTCTCCCCACGCAGGCACGACTCCGTTCCACAACAGCAGCCTAAACTATATTCGCAAGCGAGCAAGCGAGGTACATACCACTTTGGTTCCACGACGGGAGTCTTCTGCAGGCACGGAGCAACCTCCGATCCCCGACCCCGATCATCCTCTCCCCCTTCCTTGGGATGATCCCCCGAGCCCCCACCACCATCGTGGATCCCTAGCGCCGGACAATGTAGACGTACTCTGGGTATCTTTCGGCCGTGTCGGGGTTTGGCGTACCTCATATGTCAAGTTCGTTTATCCGACCTTACACTCCAGCCCTGGTTTGTTTGTTAGCGTGAGACATAGGAAACACGAGCCAAGGCCATCTAGCTATCGATGGAAGCCCTGGAATCGGAACTAGAGGCCCTGAAATTGGAAAATGGGGCCTATGGCTGTGCCAACTAGGCCTTATCATGAGCGAATCGGTCCTCGCTTGCTTGGCAAGAGATCTCGCGCTAACAAACAAACCAGTATTGGACTATACACAGCGTCGGGGCGAACTTGGCATCACTGGGTACCTACCTAGGTAGGCGCCCTATGTAGAATGCATGGCACGGAGCTTTCATTCTCCGACATGGGAGAAGAACAAGGCCGGCTTGGAACGTGGGGATGGTCGGTGAAGGAAGTTATGGGTTGCGTGTGGGACATCGGGATAGTTAGGTACCTAGGTAGGTAGATAGGCGGAATTGAGATCTATCACGATGGCACGGGCCGGTCCGTCGGTACTTTGCAATGTGCAGGGCTCGAGCAGGTTTCGTCCTTTTCAACTTCGCGCCCTCCCTGGTATGTAAAAGAAAAACAAACGTCTATGGCTCTCGGTGGACGGGCCATACCGCTATCCTCCCTTTACGGCCGCCCCGTCACTCCCAGACAAAAAGATATACAGACACCATGCCAGAAACACACAAAAAGAAGCGCCACCATCCAACTCTCAGTTGGAACCAGGCAATTGCAACTTACCCGGATCGAACGGGTGACCTTCAGATTGCAATTCCCTCCCTCGAGGGAGAGGGAGGAGATGCTAGATGAAGTGGACTTCAGTCTGACGCTCTCCCAACTGAGCTAAAGTTGCTGCGTTGCTCGATGATTTCCATCTGAGCTGGTATCGCGGGGCAAGGAGAAGGAAGGTTGGTTGTCCCGGTGCAAGCATTTCAACACCCCATCATAACTGGGGGTGCAAAAATGAACCAGTGGCTGATCCTTGACATGTTTGCAATTTACCCGGATCGAACGGGTGACCTTTAGATATCAATCTCTTGCGAGGCTTGACGGAGAATGAAGTGGATGCTTCAGTCTAACGCTCTCCCAACTGAGCTAAAGTTGCTTGGGGTGATTTTCGATATTGCGTTGTGCGGGTAAGGGTTTTCAGAAAGGGGGGCGGTGGGGACGAGATGCAGTTTTCCATGTCCACCACAGCTAACATCTCTTGTCGCTTCGATCTCACTGGCACGACCACAAAGGCGGATTGGGAGAATCAAGGGCATTTGGCTCAAACAACTGCTGCGCTGGCTGCTTGATAAAGTCCTATCTGAATGACTCGCTTCCGTTGCCTCTCACGTCAAACGGATTCCCCTTTCTCCTTCTCGCTGAATCGAGGATCGGCAAAATCAACGGCATGCACTCCCAATTCCTTAAGGGCATCCTCCGAAAGAACATCCTCCAAAACGGCATCCTGCTCGTCATTCCGCACCTCCCTGTGCTTCTCCATTGCGCGCTGCTAACGCCCACCCTGCAGCGGTCTTCCCGGCCCCTTCATAATAGTCGGCTCGACAATGTTCTTCTGCTTGGTGATGCGGAAAAACTCCTCGAGCCCCTTGACGACCACGTCGACGTTCATGTTGATCTGCGGCATCTTGTCGTACGAGCCCTCCTTCATGATGGCCACGAGCGCCAGGAAGCGGTCCACCTCGCGCAGCATGATGGGCCGCTGCGAGTCCGACAGGATCATGCCGGCCTCGGCGCGGTCGCACGCCACCTGGTCCTCGAGCGGCTGGTCCCAGGGCTCGCCCTCGAGGCGGTCGCGCCATTGTTGCGTGCGCGGCCAGCTGCCGTAGACCTCGGTAAAGTCGATGATAACGTCGACAAAGTCGCAGCAAATCTCGTAGCTCGACATGTCCTCGGGGGTGTTGTCGGTGGCGATGTAAATCTTGGTGTTGACGTCAAAGAGGTACGCCTTTTCGAATCGGCAGGTCCGGCACAGGTTGGTGAGCATGGCTTCCAGCTGTCCGAGGCGCGGGATGAGCTTCTGGATCACCTTGCTGAAGGCCTCAAAGATGCTGTGATCGTAAATGCTTGTCAGGTGGAAGTTGACGGGGGCATTGTCAATGCCCTGGTCCGACAGCTCGTCCTGGATCTGGATCGTGATGTTGCGCTGAATGTCAAACTTGTAGTCGTCGCTCAGGCCGTCCACCTTGTGGATGAAGACTTCAATGTTGATCTGCGGGTAGCTTCGCTGGAGGTTCAGGATGGTGTGGTGGAGGCGGGCCACTGACTCAGTGTAGTCATCCTGGGCGTCAATGACCCAAATAAGGGCGCCAATCTCGCCAAAGATGGCATCAATGTCAAAGGTGACGTTGGAGTTCTCAAAGATCTCAATCTGGCCGGGAAAGTCCCAGATCTGCACGTCCATAAAGGAACTTGGACCGTCAGCGGAAGTCACGCGAGTAGACAAGAGCTGCGACATACCTCAGGCTATCCTTCTGGATCCTGGCCGTAGACTCGATGAACAGCGTCTCGTTGGGTGGGAGTTTGTGAAAGACGACACTGGAAATGGAGGATTTGCCGCTCCTTGGGGCTCGTCAGCGCGTGAGCCGGCAGACCAGGAAAATAACGTACCTTCTCTGTCCCATCAGCAGAAGGCGAGGCGCTCCCTTTGCAGGTTGCTGCTGCGCTGTGGCGTCAGGCATGGTGCCGGAATCGATCTGCTCAAGCCGCTGGCGGTTCTGTTCGTAAACACGCTGGAGATTTAGCACTGCTGGACTGATCTTTGTAACGGAGACATGGCCGAGAGGGCCGTCGCCAGGCTCCGGAGCCTCCCCCGCCGGGAGGCCGCTGCCTTGCAAAAAAGCAGACATGAGGAAGAAACTCTGGCGGTGGCAAGAGCGGATAGTTCCGGAAGCAGACGGCGGACCCGCCACGGCTCGGCGACGTCAATAGTCAAGGGATCTCGTCTTATAAATGGTTTCGCCAGCCCCCCGGCACCCTGAGGCCTGTGGAAGCAGCAGCCCGCAGACGGGCCGTTATCTTGTCAATCCGTTTGCGACGCGGGAATAGCTTCCAGAACACAAGCCAACGGGATTCGAGAAAACTAGACAGGAGGAAAAGCAGGGGAACTCGAACGAGACAAAGGCTGAGATGGGTTGCGGTTCGGCGCATACGCCTTGGTCGAGTCCAATGCGGCCCGGTGACGACCATCTACCGACACTCTGCAACTTTCATCCTCGACCAATATCGTCATGTTGTCCATCACACCATCGAGGGCTTCCTCGTTCCTCTCTCCATGGCCCATCCGGCCCAGGCGTGACAGGATCCCGTCACTGCCGCGGGAGGCGAGGCGGTCAAGATATCACCACCTTCACCCAGAGCGCAGCAGCAGTGGGTGGTGGTACGAGATGCGTCCCGGGACCGTGGAGGCGTGGCTCAGCACGCTCCCTGGCCCAAGGCAGCGAATGAGTCAACGAAGGCTGCAGGCGATGACCTCGCCAAAGACACGATGATCGACTGTCTGCTTGCGCCAGTTGGGGTGACACTTGCCCCGGCCGCTGACCATAGAAGGGGCTCTTCTTACGAGCGAACTCGCCCCAGCCCGGGGACTGGTTGGAGCGGGCTTGGGCCTGTGGAACTCCACGACTGGCCATGATGCTGCGGCTCTGCGATCCGGGGGCAAGACGGACGGAGAGTCCCGCGCGGCCCCCCCTCCAACCGGGAGAAGAATGGTTGTAGAATGGAAGAGACCATGGGCAGAATCGAGGGAACGAAAGAAATGCATCTGCTTACCTCCATCTTGGCTGCCTATTTGCACAAGAGCCTAAGTGCTCCGTCATGGACCAGCGCCAGCACCATGCGGCCCCTGACCGGGCCGGGACTCGCTGTCGACGGGAGTGGAGGTGGTGTGGGAAAGCAGCTGGTCGGAACAGGCGAATGAGAGGGGAGGTTGCTTCAACGTCAGCCCGTCGGAGGGGTTGTCGTCAATAGGCACCGGCAGTATTTTCTCGCCGGATATTCAGCTCGATGATGGCTATCCAATTGAGAGTTTGCTGGATATGGAAATGGCCCCGGGTTCGTTGGAGGGGGAGGATGTGCGACAGCGACACCAAGGCGAAACAAAGGTGATGAGATGCCCGATGTTCGATGTGCTGCGACCAGTCTGCGGTCACCTATGCTGTTTGAGGATCCTGCTGAGTATTCGAATATTGGGGATGAAATCGGTGCTGGGATGGGTGAGCGTCGTCAGCATGCGTGGTGATCAAGGTGAGGTTGTCCAGCTCGGACAAGGGACAACACACAGTGGGCAACACAGAGGGCGAGCACAGGTCACGACTCACTGAAGAGCAGTGTATGCTTTGATGACGTAATCAACTGGCCCTAACCCTGTATTTGTCGACGACAACCCCCTTTCTCTCCATTCTTACCCACGACATGCTCCGACAAGAAATTCAGCTGTGGTCCTTCATAGGGCCCCCTAGGTGAGATAAATTCTTGTAAAGCCGTCGGTATAAATCTGCTCCAGAACCATGTATTCAGTGAAAAGGCATACATTGGCCAACTCCCTCGACTCTCTCTGCAACGGATCCCAATATCCATCTCCTTCTTCGCCGTGTATTCACTATGCCAGCTATGCGCCTTTAGCTCCGAGCCCTTCCAGACAATAACCTTGCACTTCTTCCGCGTCTATGCAGCCAATATGCTAGATACCTAGGTATGCAGACACCCCTGCGCCCCTCCTCGAGCTAACCCTTGATCACCCCCAGCCTGGGATTGTACTCGGACTTGGAATTCGATCTGCTAAAGATGGTGGCGACAAAGCTCCTCTTCTTCCTTGCCTTTTTAGCCCCTTCACTTTGAGATGGCACGTTCTTATCCGCCAACCCGGCCAGCTGCATCTTTGGCGACAGTCCCGGCGATGCCGGGATGGCAGGAAGCGTCTCGTCGGCGCTCGCAGGAGGCGTGAGCTCCGTGGTTGTACCCTCGACCCCAGTGGGAGGACGGAAACTCGAAAAGGACTGCCAGTGTTAGTCTTGACTCTTGAGAATCCACACCACGCTCATTGGGCGCCAACCTTGACACTAAGCTTCCTGTGCGATCTCGTCTTCTTCGGGATGGACTCGACAGCCGTACTCTCTCCGTCCGTCTCCACGGCAGCCTTCTTGGCGCCCAACGCCCTCTCTAGCTCGTCGATTTCTCCGGCCATTGTCTTTCCCCGGTGCGCCACGTCCTCCTCCCTCGTCGGGACGAAGCGCACATAGCCGCGGTCCGCGCCGACCCCAAGAGACTCCTTCATGTGCTTCTGTATCAATGCCGCGTTGCGTTTGTTGGTCGTCGGCAGGAGCTGAGACGGGAGCGCAAAGATGGACAGGACATAGGCTGCGTCAAACGAACCCCCAAACAACATGCAGGCGCCGTGATGCACCGTCACCACGATCGACGAGACGGGCCGCTGGTATCGGGTCGACAGATGATACGACAGCTCCGTGATGAAGGTGAATTCGTCACCAATCTGCGCCTGTCTGTTAGCCACCTAGCCCGTGGAACTCCAACACAGGAACACATACGATGACGTTCGTCTTGACCTCAGCCATGACAATCGCATCTCCCCTGACCCTCTCCTTGGCCGGGCTGTGGTCGTTAATCGCAAACGCCTCCTCAAAGAAATTAATGTTGCTCCTCCTCTTGGCCAGGTCCGGCTTCGATCCGGTCCTACTCTTCCGTCGCACGACATCGCCAGGAAGCGGCCGGTCAATGTGGCGGAGGAGGTCGTTTCCCTCGACGACCGTCATCGACGCGTTCTTTTCACTCCGCATTTTCCTCTCCGAGAACGAGAGCTTGGCGGGGACCGCGGACCGCGGCGCGCTG